GGAATCAAGCATGGAAAAAGAGAATGGAGCCCTAGAGGGAGGTCTAAGTGCACGGACCACGTTTAAATGGGGAAGCAATACTCAACAAAAGAAGTTAATGACGATCGAATAAGCCATTTTAGTTGGAGTGGAAATGAGGTTCACGCGCAAGCCCAGTAAGTTATCCAGTGACCATGAACAATCTCGAATAAATCAAGACCAGAAACAAACCATGCACGATATCGTAACAGCTCAACTTTGTGCAAAGTTTTGAGTGTTATTGCTCTTTGGCTGACCACAAAACTTTTAGTGCTGCTTCGCACGTTATTGTTCTTCATCTCTGGAACTGGTGGCACCCGCCACGTACGTGGGGAGTGGATTGCAGAATCAATTTCTGAAAATTTCGACATTTCCGAATTTTCGCTCAATTTAGGCCGTGTTCATAGACAGAACCGAACCGGGAAATCAGAAGATCCGCCTAAAAAACTGGTCACGAATCGACTTCATCAATTCCTGACCTTGAAGGAGTCTACAGAATCGAATTTCGTCATATCTTTCCCACTGATTCTCTTACTTTTCATTCGCCTTGCCCTCCCCAAACTTTCGAAAAGTGGAACCAGATAATCAATCGTAAATCCCTTCCCGTAGTTCTCCGATTCCTCAGTTCTACAGATTGATACGTATACGTTCCTCCTAGCTGATTCCCTGGTTTTAGAATGGCGCTATCTGTGAACACATTCATAAGCAGAATCGGATTTCATCGTGTTCTATCCTTCTAGATACAATGAATGATTGACTAACCATTATCGGAGTGATCGTCCTCCGTTCCCTTCTTACTTATTGTAGCTCTCGGCCTAGAATGTAGGTGAATGAATGTACTCTGACTTATTTGCTCTTATAACTTCCTTTTGACGAAATAATAACTGCAGCCGTTTCAGTCTGATTAATGCAGTATAACACTGCAGTGCGCGCCCGAAAGTCATCACAAGAGTGCTGAGTTATGGGCAAAATGTTGGACCCCAGGAAGGATTATAACTATGCATTCCCGCTGAGCGGGGGCGTGTATTTGTTACATAACGCCACCGGGCTATTGAGCCGAGAGGATTATAGCGGCCCCGGTGACGTGATGGATAGCGCAGTCGACTGGTCAACGAAAGATGCGGGTTTGAGTCACGCTTGGGGTCAGACTTTTGCCCATAACCCAGCACTCCTGCAATAGCTGCAGTACCTGAGGCTAGTAAAAAAGGCGACCGAGCTGCAGAAACGAGCAACAGTAAGATCAAATCCCGTCAGACGCTCGCTCGTTGGACGGGCGAATGCGTTTTCTTAGTCGTTACTGATGCAAAAGGATAAGGCGGTTATGCTTAAAAAGTCTTTCGGAAAAGAATCCTCCCTTTTGGAAACACACTTATTCTTCATCTCAGTGGGAAAATTGTTCCCTGTTTACTTTGGCTATGGTTAATCCTTCCTGTTGCAAACGCTGGGCTGTAGAAACGCTTATTCCAAGGTTACAGCCACATCGCAGCTTTCCTGTTTCTTACGATTACGGTAAATAAGTACAAGTTAGAAAGCTGTGTATTTGTGTTTGCGCATACAACAGGTCACTCAGGACACCCATTTTATGCTTCAACTACAAAAAAAAAAAAACAAAAGATACCTCCTCCTTTATCAAGTCGATATCATAATTAAAACATTCTTCGGTGTTAAGATCACCAAAACCTTCATCGTTTACACCGTCGGCAACCTCGGTCATTAGTGTATATCCAGCTGTTTCTTTATTTTCTGAAAATTAGGTAGTTATTGTCCAATAACAAAGGTTAGGCTTCAAAATACGGTACCAATGTTTTGAGGCGGAGGTGGTGTAGTGACAAGTGGCGCGCTTACCACTCGCGCGGTCCTGGGTTCGAATCCCGGGTCGACTCCCGCCCAGGCCAACCAAGCCTTCTACCCTCCGGGGACGGTGAATTGGTTCGTCTGGGAGGATAAAACACTGACTTGTACATCGGCTGGCCCCGCAAGTCATTGTATAGGCCACATCGCATTCAATAAGCCACTACGATTCTGAATGGAAGTAGAATGCGTGCCGCATCCCCAAAGGGATTGATCAACGGCGAAGACTTTATCCTTTTATTAAGCATTTTTGGTGAAAGTGTAAC